GGAGAGAAGACCCAATTTCATGACCACCACATTCTCCAGATTTTAACCCGATGGACTTCTTCCAACGGAAAGTTTAGTGTACGCAACCCCAGTACAGACAAGGGATGAATTGCTACAAAGAATTAATTTCCATTGTGATGAAATTAGACATACCCCAGAAATGCTTTTTTATGTACGAACAATAACATTCGTAGACTTAGGAAATGTGTGGAGGTGAAAAGTGCCCATATTGAAAATGTATTTTGATAGTTTTCTTTCTTTTTAAATTATTTTTAATTTACTTTAACTTATTATCGTTTTGTTTTTATATTTTGTGTTATGTGTAAAGTGTGTTTGACAAATTTTGTTAGTGAAAATTACATTAGCAGACAGTAAAATTTTCTAGGTTCCTATTTTAAAAATATTTACGATTCTAACATAGTAATTACATCCAATAAAAAATTAAAAACAAAAAATGGTGGAGGCGCCACTCGATGTGCGCTGTGACATAAAATCACAAATACTTCTTAAACTGTTAATTTTACCGAGTTGAACCAAAATTGTATTATCGCTAGCAAATTATTCAGGGAACTTATTTTTGATACAGGAAAATTGCGATCGTCTTTTATGCAAAAATTCTGGGTTATTATCCATTGGGCACAGTCCGTCCCTGTTGTTCTGGGCACAATGAAGTTTTACTTACATCAAAAACGAGCTGTACGCATGTGTTATCGATCACCAAATTTGCAGCATGCTGAAGGTAATACTTTAGAAACTGTAAATAAAAATAACTTTTTAATGTTCACTTTTTAGGGCCCGTAACTTGTTAACGAAGGTCTGTATGAAAAAAACTTATATGAAGAACTGATATTATTTTGACCTCGTCTATCTGTACTCGACTTTTTTGTATACAGGGTGTCCCAGAATAACGTGTACAACGGAAGACCACAGATTTGTGGACTCAAAATAGGCATGCAGATTGAAGCTAATTCACATATATCCGAAATCGCTTCGTTTGGCCGCTAGATGGCCTCAAAGTTCGCGAAATTTTTTTGGGTTTTGTAAATAACACGAATACGTATTATTCGATTTTGATTATTTTTGGGGTATGGACTTTTGCTTTCAATCTACCCATTTTGGTATTATATAGAGTGTTTTTTAAAACTTACAACTCCTTTTCGCGAACTTTGAGGCCATCTAACGGCCAAACGAAGCGATCTCGGATACAGGCGAATTAGTTTAAATCTGCCTATATTGAGTCCACGAATCTGTGGTCTTCCGTTGGGTACGTTATTCTAGGACACCCTGTGTTTATCGACTAAAAACTATTGCAATATTACTTAAGAAATTGAAAACCATTGTACACAGATCAGGCAGTGACATAGTGGTGTACATTAGTTAGCCTTAAACGATGTTAAACATTACACTTGTATAAAAAGAATTCCTGTTCAAACAAATATTTTAACAATTTTATTTTATAATATTGAAAATTCGGTATACGTACTAAAAATTACATAAACAAGATATAAATAAAATGCGTGACCAAATTTAAATGGCAGATTCTACGTCAGATGGTCAAAGGATTGGTTCTAATAAGCCTACAGCAATAAATAATTCGGAAATGTATATTTTTCTCTCGATAAATAAAAACTCATCTAAACATACGATTCTCAGGATATCTTCGTTGGTAACAGCATCTCTGTTTCCATTACAAAATCCCTAAACAAAAATAATGCATTTTAGATTAACGAAAACAGAAAATACACTAACAATGGTAATTAATAAACATAATAAGAGGAAGTACTAGGTGTTCTCTAACATATGTTAATAACAAGTAAAAATATAAATTGGGTATAACATAAAACGGAAAAAATAAAGTGATAAAAATTGAAGAAAACGACGTCGAGACAATATCGATACTTTTTAATATTTCGGTAGTTATTAGTTTTTTTTTTTTTTTTTTTCATGGGTAGGTATCTAATTTTGTCTTGTTTTGTATAGTTTTAGTTTTTAATTTTGTTTTTAGACATATGTCCATTACTATACGAACTTATTTTGTAAATTCATAAACTTATGATAAAATTTAAATAAACATGGAATTTTCATTCGTATTTATACTTGTTTTATTGTGCATTTAATTAAAAAAAGATATTTTTTCTATAAAAAAATTTTATAACTATTAAACAGTGGCCTGGAAATTGGACGAAATGGTAGATGAATATAATTGAAGCAAGAACTATTTGCAATTAAAAGAGTTTGCTTTAATGTCAAGTATCAAGTCGAGTATTTTTCCACACTTTAAAAATTGCTAGAGTAGTACCAATATACAGGGTGATTCAGAACTTATCCAAAAAAAAAATTCTGGATGTACAGTGGACTCTTACAAATACAATTTTGAAATGAAAAAATTAAAAAGGGCAATTCGAAAATTATTTAAAAATACACTTCTGCACGGCACTGGAAACTGGTCCACTGTAAAACCTGACCTGGAGCAATGCGACCGTCATGGCGACAGTGATAAAAACGGGCAAAACTTGAAAGAATTTCGCAAGGAAAAGAATAAATGGAATATTATAGCACCTATTTTATATCAGCAAACTCAACTGATTTTGTTCAAATTCATTTGTGGTTTTAAATAATAAAATAATTTGACATACCTGATGTTACAACAACTGTTCAAGACATTTGGGTCCGTCTTACTCAGTTTCTATGAACTAACACAAATGCTGTCTTGTTTCACCATAACACAAATGCTTCACCATAATAAAAATGTTCTCTTGCTTCACCATAAACTAAAACGATATCCATCAACTCCAAGTACTAAAAAACTATTCTAAACATCGGATTTCAGTGTTCTGAGTCGCTGAGGCCACGTGGCTCTCCATGCGCATTACGAATGACGCTAGAGACTACAGTTGTCCAGCTATGTAATGGCTGAAAGCACTACAACTTTAATAATTTTTTTCTCGGAAACTATAAGGATTTTACAAATTTTTTTTTACATTATTGACTCCATTTCTCATGCCGAATTTATTCCCAAATTTTTTTGGATAAGTTGTGAATCACCCTGTATAAATAGAATAACGTAAATGATCCTTCCAATTTTAGATCCATATCCACAATTCCATATTTTGCAAAAATTTATGAGTGAAATTGAAAATACAAATTACAAGTTATTTTGACACCCATCGTATTGTGAATTTTAATCAGTATGGTTTTTGCAATGGCTGCTCTACCACATTGTCTATAAACATACTTGTTTCATATATTAATGAAAGTTTTGAAAATGGTAAATATATAGCTACACTTCGACTTAACAAAAGCATTTGATTGTGTATCTCATAATATTCTTGTTAGAAAGCTACAATTTTATGAGTGTACAGTATACAGATGTTGAATTCTTACTTGACAGATAGGCAGCAATTAGTGAGTTCCAATAATGTAAAATCCGACTTGAAAACTGTTAAACATGGAGTACCCCAGGGATCAATACTGGGGCTTATACTATTTCTAACCTATATTAATGACCTATTTAACTCATTGGATAATGATGTACTAGGAATTTTGTTTGCTGATTACACATGTCTGTCAGTAAGAAGTAAAATACTCTTAGATTTAATTAATACAATCCCTCAAACTCAGTTAATGAATGATTTACAGCCAATAAGCTTTGCTTAAATATATCTAATTGTAAATCCGAGACCACATTTTCAATGCAATGAGAGATTGAGTATGAGACTCTCTGAGGCTGTTAAATTTTTGGGAGTTTATTCTAGATTGACTTGGGAACATCATACCAATTATATTTGCAAGAAAATGTCGAAGAACATGTGCTTACTTCGTAGCAGAGCAAGTAAGGTCTCAGTGAACAGCATATTATGATTATATTCATTCTCACATATCATATGCACTTATTGTGTGGGGTCATGCTACTTCTGCTCTGGATGTGTTCGTACAGCAGAGAAAAGCAATTACGAGTATCTCTTAGTTATAGAGATGACTGCAAAAATCAATTTATTAAATTAAATATTCTAACAGTTCCATCAATACATAAATAATAACTTAAATATTGAAGACTAGAAGTGAAGCTCACACTCATAATGTTAGATTAAGGATAACCTTAAAAATCTGAATTTCAAACAATTTAAAAACAAAATGAAAAAATATCTTTTACAAATTGCCTTTTATAACATTGAACAGTTTTTGGCAAGGATTTTAGCCATATTTTAATTTATAGTTCTTTTTTAATTGTGTTACTTTTATATTACTTTTGTATTTTAATTTATATAATTTCTATCTCATTTTAAACCATTTACTCGTATTATTGTACGGTCTATATGATACTGTTACTTTGATATTTTTTTTTGTTTGAATACTAATTATGTTCTGTCTTAAACACTCTTACATTTTTGATTTATATTTTAGACAATTATTAGTCTATGAAGTTACGCATGTGTTGCATAGCTACATTTTTGATACCAAAGAACGTTGTTCTACTTGATATGATTTTTATAAAGATATTCTGATTATGACTTATTTGATTGAACTTAATACTTTTAAAAGATAATAATAAAATATATATTTAAAAAAAACAGCATGATTTCCTTCACATTATCTAATATCAATGGAACAACCAACAAATTATTTACAACTATTACATTTCTCAAGGTGAATAATTTTTATCTTTTAAATCTGTATAGATAAGTACACAGTGGCACGCTACTCATTATCAAAACGGGCATTTCCATAAATTTTTTTCAAGGTGGGGCCTGAGAACTTTTTAAAATTACAATAATAGAATAAACGACATTTTTTATGACATCAACATGTATAATATTCTGCATTTTGTATGAAGGTCACATATTCGAATTTGTCTAGAGACTCGTAAAAGTACTTATAGTATAACACGCCACTGTAGGTAGATACTACAACTGATAACAAATTTGTCAGTCACGATTTCATTTTTACTTAATCATTCTACTTATTATAGTTGGTTGCGTTAATACATATTATATATATATTATTAAAAATAGTCAAGGCGAAGGTTTTCGTTTTCGAGAAGTTGTTGAAAATTATAGAGGAAGAACTGCCACCCATACAAAACGGAGGTAAGTATCAAAAATACACATTATGCGTATCGCTCATTATTTATTTAGCTAAACTTGTCGATATAATCGCATAAATTAGATATTTTTTAAAACTGAGTTTAACAAACAGAGTCAGTCGTACGCAGCATTTGATGAAATATAAAATAATAATAAAAGGAGGAGGGCCCCTAAGGCCGGTTTTTGGCCTAATTGTGTGCATATTTGATTAGCCACTTTGAACTTCGTGGTTCTGAATTCAAAATTGTAATCAGTGATCCAAGAACGTTTTTATAAACAAATATTTGAGGATTATGAAGATCTTTTTAATTTTTTGTCCGCCATATGGAATACGTCATTTTGAATTTCGTATTTCTGCTTTCAGATTCGTAATCAGAGACCTAAGAAAACCCACTACACAAAAATTCGTGCATTTTAAAGACATTTCAATTTTTTTGTCCGCCATTTTGAATTTCGTGATTTAGAGTCCAGATTCGTAATCATAGACCCAAAATACCCCAATACAAAAAAATTCATGCATTTTGAAGACATTTCAATTTTCTTGTCCGCCATATAGGATCCGCCATTTTGAATTTCGTTATTCTGAGACCAGATTCGTGATCAGCGACCCTAAAAAAACTGTTCATGTGTAAGATTCAAAGGAATTGAATGTCTTTCGCATCTCTAAGGATTCCTCTAAATAGGGTGGAAACGATTCAGTATTGCTAGTAGGTACTAAAAAAATTTTTCAGATTTTTTCAGCCAAATATAAATTAGGCCAAAAACCGGCCTTAGGGGCCCTCCTCCTTTCATGCTCTTTGTAATTCATTTTATCGTTTGAAAGAAACAAAAAGAAAGATGATGTAATTTTTCTACCCTAGTGCGAAAGTAACTTTTTAATCCAGTATCTACCTAATTGTTGTATATATTTAAATTGGCAATATATTATAGCAAAAATATTGCATGTTTCTGGCACGCGATATGTAGGTATGTACAGGGTGTTCTCAAAAAGCGTGGCGAACCAAATCAATTTTTTTTCTAATTGCGTTTCATTTCGGTTTAAAAAATTTATATGTGTACATTTTATATTTGATTTAACCGTTTATGAAGGAAAGGAAAACACCTGCTCATATTTTTTCTTCTTTTTCAACATGAACGAATAAATGAAAGATGGGAAATTTTAATAGTATCTAACATAATTATTCAAAATGACCTGCATAACCTATAATTTCGTTTTAATTTATTTAAGTATTGCATTTGCGATTATTTCGTGGTCTTCATTTATGGTCAAATCTGTTCAGAGTATTTAAATCAGGGTTATTTGCAGGCCACTGAATATGGTCAGATCTACCTAGCTTTAAATTAATTGTAGTGAGTAATAAGTTCATTATTATTGACTTTTTGTTGGTTCTCACAATGCTAGAATACTTTTATTCGAATAATGTATCTCTTCCAAGCGACAAGATTTATCAAAGTTTAGGAAGAGCAAGAAAAGTTTTAGATTCGAAGTCTGTGCAATATGATATGATGATATACGTTTTCAAATTAAATGGTAAAAAAATTGGTATGGGGTTGAGTGAGTCTCCACAAATTATCATCTTGCGAAACCTCAATGACCTCACGGGAAATTACAGAAACAGGAAATGACTCGTGCAGTAATTGAATTGTTTCTCGGGCTCTGGTACTGTCTCGTTGAAACCACATGTCGTCGACATCTATATCTTGCAATTTAGGCTCAAAAAACTGGATTATCATGTCATCATTAACTGTTGTCGCCGGATAAGCAGCATTTTCGAAGAATATTGGTCCGATGATGCCTCCAGACCAAAATCCACACCCAACAGTGAATATTTCGAGTTTCCACCACCAAGAATGGCGGTGACAACATTTTTAATATCAAGGCTATGTTTCGCATTGTGTTAACTACATCCTGTCCAAATTTGGTTAGTGCAACTTTCTCGGTTTCGAAAATTCGATACCTATGCATGTTTTCAACCAAAAAAATAGAATAATTCCAAATATTTCGAATTTTTACCACCAAGAACGATGGTGACAACATTTTTAACATCAAAGCCATGTTTCTCATTGTATTAGTTACGCCCTGTCCAAATTTGGTTAGTGTAACTGTCTCGGTTTCGAAAATTCGATACCTATGTATGTTTTCAACCAAAAAATTGAGTAATTCCAAATATTTCGAATTTTTACCACCAAGAACGGCGGTGGCAATGTTTTTAACATAAAAACTATGTTTCGCATTGTATTAGCTACGCCCCGTCCAAATTTGGTTAGTGCAACTGTCTCGGTTTCGAAAATTCGATACCTATGTATGTTTTCCGTCACGAAAATTGATTAATTCCAAATATTTCAAATTTTCACCTACTTGAAACATATTTGTGAAGTGGACATATTCTCTTCTCTCTTTTCGCATTCATTTCTAGTTACTCACCAGCGAAAATCGACTTTCGCTGCACAAATTTATTATCCATAATTTGCCCGTAATGATAAAATCGCCCGAATAAATCACGACTTAACGTTTTATTAAGCCCGGTTGAGGCCGCATGCAGCCGAGCCTATGGCCCTGCTACAAAATAAACGAAGCCGGAGCTAGGGTTCACACTCTGTAGACACAATGCGGTCGTTACTCATGTAAATCAACACCTTTGTGGAACTCCTAGCCAAGCCCGTGAGGTTGTAATGCAAATTAGAACAAAAATAGTCGCTTGAATGAGGCATATCGGTCTGCTAATTAACCCTTACACTCGAAGGTGTCTGTAAAAAACATGGAACGGAAACTGTTGGGTTGAGGCGATCGCAAGCCTGCTCTTTTAGGCTTAGAATACAGGGTGTAATAAAATGATGAAAAATTTTCGTGGATTGAATTAATTTAAATTTTATTTTTACATTTTGCTTTTATTAAAAACAATTTTTTCTTATTTATTAATTTGAGGATTTTGAAAAAAAAAATAATGAGACTCCTGTACCAAAAAGACGAGCCAAGGGTTATTTTTTATGAAAATACAAAATACACATCACTATGTATCGCGTACTTCAACAAGACATTTCGAAAATCAATCTGTTTTCGTTATTAGGTCAATCAATAGAGGTTTTGTTTGTGACAAAAATACTATAGTAGCAAACGGACTGTGCCATCATATAAAAGACAATCTGTAAATATATGCTTATATGTTTCCTACTCAAATTTACCATTAATTAATTTTTTATAAAACGCATTTTTTTAGTTTTTTGCTTATAAAACCTATACTAACGAAGCAATCTGAATGCTATAAAGAGACAATTTGTAGAGAACCGAAATAAGAATAAAACTAGATGTCGATCGATCCGATCGGATAATTAGAAACGAGGAAAATTAATTACTCCGACATTTTTTCAGTTGTAGAGTTGATCCTGTATACAAATGTAATGAAGTGTGCACAAAGCAGGCGCTGTCGCATCATTAGTTTTGGCACAATTGTATAATTTGAATTTTTTGCTGCATTATTTTGCAATGTTTCTGAATGCGTTGGAGGTGGACCAATTTTAATTTTTCAGCCGGATTTTAAAAGTAGGAGTATGATACTACAAAACGTATATTCTGATTTTAAGATAAAATGATGCGAAATAGGTGAAAAATTCCTCCAAACGGCCGTTTGTGCGTACGCGGTCGAGTAGTGGGGGATAGTATTCAGATTGCTTCGTTAGTTTAGGTTTTATAAGTAAAAAAACTAAAAAAAAAATGCTTTTTTTACACAAACTTTCATCTTCTTGTCTTACGTTATCTTCTTTTGTTTGGAAACTGATAATGCGCATGACCGATTATTATTGTTATTATTGTTATTATTGTTATTATTGTTATTATTATTATTATTATTATTATTATTATTATTATTATTATTATTATTATTATTATTATTATTATTATTATTCTGCTCCTCCTCCTCCTCCTTCGTCTTCTTCTTCTTCTTCTTCTCTGTTCTAAATTCTAAATCTAACTATGTTCCCAATTATTCTAACATAACACCTAACCTAAAAATATTATTTGTGGTTGAAATTTTCTGGCGGTATTATATTAATTTAATATGGATATAAATATTCAGCTGGTAGCGATGATGTTGATGGCAGACACTGCCACTATATTGGTATTGACCGTAAAACGAAAAAGTGAAATTCACAGAACTTGCAAAAAAGCTGCGATTTGATTGGTTCATTCTTATTTTTCATTTTATTTTAGTCACCTGTATAAACCAATGTTTTCTGCCTTTTGTTAAGTAAGAATTTTGAGAAGCCGAGCGCAGCATAGGCACTATGACGTCACATCGCTCCCTTCTCCTGGCTACGGTAAGTACTGCTTGATGCAATTGGTTTGAAACCTCTATATTAAAAAATGGCACAGATAAGGACCCTAGTTACCGTTTTTTTTTTGTTTTTTTTATTAATAACTTTTTTATTTTGCTACTTCTGAAATTTACACAGACGTGAGATAATGTAATTACCTTTCGATCAAATTTATTATTTTAAAAAAAAATGTTTATCATTGTAGCAAATTGCCTCAGGAATAAAATCGATAAGTAGAACTCATGTCGATTAGAGGCTTATTTTCAGAGATATAAGCGAAAAACTGAAAAAAGGGGCATTTCTTTTTTGTTATAAACAATATGACGCTCGATCTCTACAAATACACAAATTTAGGCTTTTATTCTATGTATTTCTTACTTAATTCTAAGCACATAAAATTGGATTTAGGCCCGATTTTTGAAACAGGCGTGTGTTTGGTCTAATTCGCTCGGATTAAAGAACAAGTTGCATGTAAATTAGAGGGTGTCTTGCCACCTTAGAGCGCGGGAATAACAATAAAAGGTATTTCTTTGCAAGAATATTTTATTTATTGACCTTAATATCTCAGGAGATAACATTTTTAATTTATTTTAGACAATTATTAGTCTATGAAGTTACACATGTGTTGTATACCTACATTTTTGATATCAAACAACGTTGTTCTACTTGATTTGATATGATTTTTATAAAGATATTTTTTTGAACTTATTTGATTTAATCTTAATACTTTTAAAAGATAATAATAAAATACATATTTATACAAAAAACAGCATGATTTACTTCACATTATCTCATATCAATGGAACAATCAACAAATTATTTACAACTATGTGACATTTCTCAAGGTGAACAATTTTTATCTTTTAAATCTGTAAGTACACAGTGGCGCGTTACTCATTGTCAAGACGAGCATTTCCACTAATTTTTTCAAGGTGGGGCCTGATAACTATTTAAAATTACAAGAATAGAATAAACGGCATTTCTTATGAGATCAACATGTATAATAGAATACTCTGGATTTTGTATGAAGGTCACAAATTCTAATTTGTCTAGAGAGTCATAAAAGTAGGTATAGTCTTTAACTATATACAGTGTATATAGTCAAGGGTATAGTATAACACGCCACTGTAGGTAAATACTTCTACAACTGATAACTTTGTCAGTCACGATTTCATTTTTACTGAATCATTCTGCCTATTATAGTTGGTTGTGTTAATACATATTATATAATTAAACTATCAAAAATGGTCAAGGCGAAAGTTTTCGTTTTCGAGAAGTTGTTTGACGGACTTCCAAAAGAAGACGATTTAAAAATTATAGAGGAAGAATTGCCACCCATACAAAATGGAGGTAGGTGTCAAAAATACATGTCATTATTTATTTAGCTAAACGTGGTTGATGTGATCGCATAAATTAGATATTTTTTAATACTGAGTTTAACAAACAGTGTCAGTCATAGCCATAAGGGAATCAGTAAAGCATTTTATGAAATAAAAAAAAATATATTAAAATTGCATGCTTTTTATAATTCAATTTATCGTTTGAAAGAAAGATGATGTAATTTTTCTACCTTAGTGCAAAATTAACTTTTTACATTACTTATAATACGAGTATAATATTTTCCTGATAGCAACTACGTGATATCAGATCATTTCATTACAATATCGTTTGAAAGAAAGATAATGTAATTTTTCTACCCAAGTGCAAAAGTAACTTTTTACATTACTTATAATATAATATTTTCCTGATAGCAACTACGTGATATCAGATCATTTCATTACAATATCGTTTGAAAGAAAGATAATGTAATTTTTCTACCCTAGTGCAAAAGTAACTTTTTACATTACTTATAATATAATTTTTTCCTGATAGCAACTACGTGATATAAGATTATTTCATCACAATATCGTTTGAAAGAAAGAAAAAGAAAGATGATGTAATTTTTCTACCTTAGTGCAAAAGTAACTTTTTACATTACTTATAATTTCCTGATATTTCCTGATGGCAACTGCGTTATATCAGATTATTTCATCACAATATTGTTTGAAAGAAAGAAAAAGAAAGATGATGTAATTTTTCTACCCCAGTGCAAAAGTAACTTTTTACTTCACTTATAATAGAGTATCATTTTTTCCCGATAGCAACTACGTTATATCAGATCATTTCATCATAATATCGTTTGAAATAAAGATGATGTGATTTTTCTACTCTAGTGCAAAGGTAACTTTTTACACTACTTATAATACGAGTTTAATTTTTTCCTGGTAGCAACTACGTGATATTAGATCATTTCATCACAATTATCGTTTGAAAGAAAAATGATATAATTTTTCTACCCTACTGCAAAAGTAACTATTTACAGTACTTATAATACGAGTATCATTATTTCCTGATAACAACTACGTGATATCAGATGATTTTATCACAATACTGTTTGAAAGAAAGATGATGTAACTTTTCTACCCTAATGCAAAAGTAACTTTTTACATTACTTATAATACGTATATCATTTTTTCCTTATAGCAACTACGTGATATCAGATTATTTCATCACAATATCGTTTGAAAGAAAGATGATATAATTTTTCTACGGTAGTGCAAAAGTAACTTTTTACATTACTTATAATATCATTTTTTCCTGATAACAACTACGTGATATCAGATTATTTAATCACAACATCGATTGAAAGAAAGAAAAAGAAATATGATGTAATTTTTCTACCATAGTGCAAAAGTAACTTTTTACATTATTTATAATGCGAGTATCATTTTTTCGTGATAGCAACTACGCGATACCAGATTATTTCATCACAATATCGTTTGAAAGAAAGAAAAGAAAGATGATGTAATTTTTCTACCCTAGTACAAAAGTAACTTTTTAATGAAGTATCTACCTCAATGTTGTATATATTTAAATTGGCAATATATTATAGCAAAAATATTGCATGTTTTTGGCATGCGATATGTAGGTATGTCCAGGGAGCTCTCAAAAAGCGTGGCGAATCAAATCAATTTTTTTCTAATCTGCGTTCTTTTCGGTTTTAAAAATGTATGTGTACGTTTTATATTTGATTTAACCGTTTATGAAGTGAAGGAAAACACCCGCCAATTTTTTTCTTCTTTTTCAACTTGAACGAATAAATGAAAGATAGGAAATTTTATTAATGTCTAAAATAAATATTCAAAATGGCCTGCATAACCTATAATTTCGTTTTAATTTATTTATTGCATTTGCGACTATTTCGTCGTCCTCAAATGTGTCCAGAGTATTTAAATCAGGGTTATTTGCAGGCCACTGAATATGGTCAGATCTACCTAACCTTAAATTAAAAGGAGGAGTATTAAATTTATAATCCATTCTTGACTTGGTGGTTCTCACCGTGCTAGAATACTTTAATTCGAATAATGTATTTCTTCAAAACGACAAGATTTATCAAAGTTTGGGAAGAGCAAGTAAAGTTTTAGATTCGAATTGGTAAAAAAATCGGTATGGGGTTGAGTGTGTCTCCACTAATTATCATCTTGCGATACCGCGATGACCTCACGGGAAATTACAGAACCAGCAAATGACTCGTGCAGTAATTGAATTGTTTCTCGGGCTCTTGTTAAAACCACATGTCGTCGACATCCATATCTTGCAATTTAGGCACAAAAAACTAGATTATCATGTCATCATTAACTGTTGTTGCTCGACCAGCAGCATTTTCTAAGAATAATGGTCTAATGATACCTCCAGACCAAGATCCGCACCCAACAGTGACACGTTGTAGATGCATTTGTTTCTCAACAATCACTCGTGGTGAAAATGAGCAGTGATTTTGTCGAAAAATCGGCATAGATACACTTGTTCCACAATCCATTCAATGTAGTTACATATATAACTATTTTACAGAATTTCTTGTCGAAGCTGCCTACCTTAGTGTGGATCCATATATGAGGGTTTACACTGAATTTCATAAAATAGGAGAAACAAATGTAGGATCTCAAGTTGGCAAGTAAGTTTAACGAATTTAGCTTTAATGAAATAAAAGTATTAATATTCTCAATTGACGAATGAAAAAGTTAATTAACGTGAAACGTATTTTCACTAACTATTGAAACTATTAAGTAGGCCCCTTGGTTAATATTTTGGCCTTATATCATAAAATATCACTATCACGGCGACCATACAAAGACCACGAATTCCATGTAAACAAATATCTTACCAAATTAGAGGGCACTAGTGTCCCCACATACCTCGAAATAGTGGTGGGGAAATAAAGAAAGCGGCATGCGGCGGTTTGAATTAAAAATCAATCATGTCGATTTTGTAATGTATTAAAAATTTTAAAATAAATAATGTAGGCTACTTTGAATTAGATAAATAAATCAATACATAATGAGAATATGTCGGTGTACAAGGAACACTAGCGACCCTAACAGTAAATACTATAAGTAATTTCCACTGTTAACTGCATTGACAAATTTTGTCAATTTTACCGTATGAGTTCGTGGTCCTTGTTTAGTCTCCCTAATTAATATAATGACAATGTTTTTAGAATAGTAGAGAGTAAAAATCCAGGATACCCTGTTGGACAATATGTGGTGGGTAATTTTGGTTGGAGAACGCATACGATTTCAAAAGGATTGCAAGATGGACTTGGATTCAAACCAACTTTGGTTCCAAATATTGGCAATTTACCTTTGTCTTTAGCTCTTGGAGTTCTGGGAATGCCAGGGTAAATATTATATGTCTTATATTGTTGAAAGGTACAACTCATATAATAAACATAATCAATGGCGTAACCAAGGGGTGAAGCGAAAGGTCATCTGCAAATTTTGGCTTTGCTCGAAATGAACCGGTTTAATAAATTTTGATAAGAATGCGATTTTAGAAAGTCGGACTAGGAATTGGAAAATAATATTGGTAAAAAATATATATGTAGTTATAAATAACTACAGAATAACTACAGATGCCAAAAATGTGCATGCCATTGTGCATTCGGATAGAAGAATCTGCCTCACCAGACTGTTTACACACAGAATAGACAATAAAAATATAGATTACCCAGGTGTGTTTAGTTTTTCTGCCAACATTTAATATCTTAGATACTTATAGACATATTATTTTACTTAATGATCTTGTGGTTCATTCTGTACTGTTATAGAAGACGTTGAATGTGTAAAGTAAATTGAATTGATAGTTTTTGTTCCGAATAAACTGTATTTTATAATAACATCAACGGAAAATTAACTAACGGAAATCATCTTAGTGTGCTTTGTTTACATTTATTTACTTATTTATTTCATGATCTTTTTGGAATGTTTTCTTGGAGACTGCTTCCTGAGTATCCAACCAAAAGATCACACTCGAACTCCTAGTACGGCTAGCGCTATGGGGGTGGTTTACTAAACATTTTTTTAGAGCAAATTGAAATGAAAAGTTGTAGAGGATCAAATTCTAAGCAACTTTTGCTTATAAAATTTGTTGTATGTCTTATACTTAAAGAGTTACTGCGCATTATGTGACAAAAATTGGGAACGCCGCAGGGGTGGTCTTGTAAACATCTTTTTACAAAAAAATTACCTTCACGAAAGTTGTAGAGGATCAAATTCTGAACAACTTTTCCTTATAAATTTTTTTGTATCTAAAGCAGAGAACGCATTAGGCGATCGCGGTCTCGTCGCATCGCGATCTTTTACAAAATCAGTCGCATTTGGCAATCGTACACAATCCTGCTCGCGCTCATCTTTAAATGGTTGAGGTATTGTTTTAGTAGTTAAAAAATGAGTTATATGGAAGAGGAAGCTCGTCTCGATCGCATACTTCGAGCATATTCCTAGAAGCAGCCTTGAATGCTGAGAAAGCGCGACTGGTGTGCGAGAGAGAAAGGAGAATAAAAGGACATGATATCTCTCTTGCTCCGCGAGCTGATTGGTCGGAGCTTAGGTGCAGGACGTCATTGGCGTGGAGAGGAGCACGCACCGACAAATCCAGCTCGCGGAGCGAGAGAGATAGCATATCCTTTTATTCTCCTTTCTCTCTCGCACACCAGTCGCGCTTTCTCAGCACTGATGGCTGCCTCTAGGAGTATATGCTCGAAGATAGCATCGCGGTCTCCCGAGATTTTTTGGAAAAGATCGGTGGAGAACGCGATGCGAGCGCTACAAGCTCGGGAACGTCTAGTGCAAATGCATTAGAAAACATGGGAAGGAATTCCACCATGCACTCTACACTAGCACGGACCGCGACCGCCTTAATGCGTTCTCTGTTTAATACTACTAGTACTGCTATTTTGGCATTGTCAAAACCGAACGGAGACGATGTGGTGTCGCATCCACTGGACGTTTGTATAAACAGTACACGTTCAGCTATTTTTTTCGAATGTTTGCAACAATTTCTTGAATAAATGAATGAAAACATGAACTGATGCAGCCTGTCAGCTAACACATGACAGCCTAACACCTCTCTCTCTCTCTCTCTCTCATTGTTTCCAACTCTTTGTAAAAACATGTTTACAAGACCACCACTGCAGCGTGCGCAATTTTTTTCATATAATAAGCAGTAACTCGTTAAGTATTATACAAAAAAAAATATAAGGAAAAGTTGTTCAGAATTTTATCCCCTACGATCTAAAAATATGTTTAGAAAACCAGCCCCATAGCACAAGTCGTACCAGGAGATCGAGTGTGAGCTTTTGGTTGGACCCTCAGCAGGCAGTCCCCAAGCAACCCTGAAAAAATCATCCTGTTTGGATTTTTTTTATATAAAATGACATCTTTATTGGGTTATAATTTTGTTATTATGAAACGTCAATGTTGTCAAAGTTTCTAAACTACTGTATAAAAATTTTGTTAAATAAAGAAAATTCCTTGCAGTATATTATGCTGAAACAATGGTAACCTAGTTTAAGTCATTTCATGTGTCATTGTACTGATTGCAGAAATACTGCCTATTTTGGATTTCTTGAAATATGCGCTCCTCAAGCTGGTGAAACTGTAGTTGTAACAGGCGCTGCTGGAGCAGTAGGAAGTCATGTCGGCCAGATAGCGAAAATTAAGGGATGCAAAGTTATCGGTGTCACAGGTTCGGACGAAAAAGGGAAATGGCTAGTGGAAGAACTGGGATTTGATCATTTTATCAATTATAAAACTGCTGATTTGGACAAAGCCTTGGATGAATTAGCGCCAGAAAAAATCGATTGCTATTTTGATAATGTACGCAAATATTTTTTAAATTTTAAAAAGCAAATGTCATTCATACTTGAGTATCTACACATATTCAGTTTTGAATGTATTTAACTTATATATTTATGGAACTGACTAATTATCTTTCTCACTTATAGGTTGGTGGTGAAATTAGTAGTATCATTTTGAGCCACATGAATAGCTTTGGAAGGGTATCTGTATGTGGAGCAATTTCGGGTTACAATAAGGCAGAAAAAGGTAAGAAGATTTTTTAACTCTGATTCCATTCCCAATAAGAAATTATCTATTTAATTTAAATGACTATAACGTTCAATATTGTATTTAAAAAATATAGGTATATGAGAATTTTAATTTGCAGCAAGTATAGTTCAAAGGCTACTGGTTCCTCGCAATCTCACAATGGAAGGGTTTCTTGTCAAGAGATGGGCCAACAGGTGGAATGAAGGTATTCAACAAAATTTGAAGTGGATTAAAGAAGGGAAATTGAAATACCATGAAACAGTTACTGAAGGATTTGAAAATATGTTAAAAGCGTTTATTGACCTGCTCAAAGGGGGGAACGTTGGAAAAGCTATTGTAAAAGTTTAAAAATGTCAATAAACTAAAATATTGGTTTCTTGCTGTTTCATTTAATTTTCAACAATTCATCTTTATAGGAAAATGATATTTACATAAATTAGTATCATATTAAAAAAATTAAGGAGATAATAAACCCAGAAAAAATCCATGTATTAGGAGCGTCTACGAAATTTTTATCTGTGGCAACATAACTTTATTTTAAATCTGTTGCAGTTTTGTCAGCCAATTCTGAAGTAGTTACGGTGGGAATAGTTTTCTAAATTGTCATACAGTATCTATCATTATCAGATCCGGACTATGAATTCCTAGATGAGATAAAATCTATTGCTACCATTAAGCCTTTTTTTGGTAGATTTTGTCGTATGGCAACCATCAGTCCCATCTTGTTGAAATATAAAATCCCCATTAGGGAATAATAAAAGTTCTAAAAAATCTGCCTATTAATGGTTAAAAATCTTATAATGGTAGCTGTAGTACAATTTTTACCAAGGTAAAACCTTTTATTGCAGTAAATTTGTCATTCTAGCTTGGCAAATTTTATGACAATATACAAGAGCTTACATTGATTTATCTTTGTATCACTTTATAAACACTATAACTTGTGACAAAATAGTTCTTTTTACAATTATTGGTTTTGCCTTTGCATAATCAGTATTTTTCTTATAGAAAGTTAAGGAATATCAGTATGTCTTTTACAGTAAAATTATTTTCAAGCCTTAACATACTGTTCTTTGTCTGTAGTGGACGCTGAAGGACCATATTTCTAGCACGGATGCTGTGATTTAGTAGGCAGTGGTTTGAAAGGCATTACATGATATCAGCACATACAGCAAGAATATGAAAACATTTATATTATGAAGACAATATCATATAATAGACCAATCAAGAGAGCATTAAACCAGTGATTTTGTGACAAAAATACTAGTGGCAAACGGACTGTGCCATCATATAAAAGACAGTCTGTAGATATATGCTATTTCCTACTCCAATTAATTAATTTTTTATAAACATTTTTATGCAGAAAAACTAACGAAGCAATCTGAATGCTATAAACAGACATTTTGTAGAGAATTGAAATACGACTAAAACGAGAGGTCGATCGATCCGATCGGATAATTAGAAACGAAGAAAACCCGGAAAATTTAGCGTTTTTTTTTTAAATCATTACTCAGACATTTTTACATACATGCTGACCCTGTGCACAAAAATAGTAGCAGGCGTTGTCGGACCTTTAGTTTTGGCACAATGGGCTCATTCAGCATTTTTTTTTTATTTGCTTAACCGAAAGATATTGCAATTTTAATGTTGTCTGGAAAAAATTTGAATTTTATATCTCATATAAATCATCCAAAAAAAATCATAAATTGGCGCGCTGAGTATCCGCTGAACCAGCGGGAGTGACGTCATCGCATGGGAAACCGATGCCGCATGCATGTTGTCAGTCCGATAGTGTGGTTTTAGTTGCCTGTTAACTTTCGATTGAATACGGTAAGATACCGAATTTTGTTAGCTGTATGGAAGACACAGAACAGAAAAAATTATAAATATTGTATTGTCCCCCAGTGTGAGAGCACGAGAGTGAAGACGCCTAAGAAAATAATCCCCGTAATTCTGTCGTGGGGATCTAAAATCAATAGTCTATTAGTCTCTACTTTGATTTGATTTTTTTTAATATCCTTTATTTGAAAAATTACTTATTTTGAAAGCAACAAAACTACCTGCGTAATTTAGGTATGTAATAAATACGTTTGTATCCTCTAGAAACACTATACAGTTGTGTTTTCCATTGTACCATTTTTTTGTGAATATTTTACAAATACCTATACCTAAGTAGTAAGTGTTTACCTATATAAAAGTATATAATAAATATTATATTATTAATATATTTATAAGATATTAGGTGGATTTTATGTAGTTTCCATGGAAATAAAAATAGTAATAAGAATTTTGTATTTGATTAAGTAAATCTTTGAAACCTGTGACAGAAACGTTTCGTCCAATTAAACGCAAAATCCTTATTCTTATTTACTATTCTTAATGTACAAAAACATCAAAACTTTTGCTACATACTTCAAAGAAGCTTTATATTGAAACGTAACGTTTGCAGTTTCACTCCTCTCATCTCGTCACTGATAAAGTCGTGGTTTTAATTTAAAAAATCCATAACCATCATTAACAAACCTACTTCTGGAAATTAGAAGAATCTGCTTTTACGAAATTTGCTTCCATTTTTAAATTTGATATGCACAAATGCTAAAACATTCTGTAGATGCAGAAACACATCTGAAAGTAGCGCCAAGCCGACTGACTGTCCCATGCGGTGACGTCATTGGATTGCCACGGCTGAGACAAATATTCGCATATAAAAAATCATATAGTTTAAAAACCGATCAACGGACTGAGTTGAAATTTTCAGGATCGCCTAATCATGAGCAACATTTTGTGTATATAAAATAAGAACGTTTTTGAAAATTTACTGAACTATTGCAATTTGAATATTTTAGTGCACTATTTTGCTAAATTTCTGGATGGTGGTGGTCCGATTTTAATTTTTCAGCCGGATTTTAAAAGTAGAAGCATAATACTACAAAACGTATATTCAAATTTTCTGATAAAATGATGGCAGAATATTCCTCCAAACATGCCAAGTAATGGGGCAAGATCGGAAGATGAGGGACAGCATTACTTTGTTCTATGAACCACTCACAAGAATGAACACTAGCAGAACCGTTTTCTTGCAATATTTGTACACGACGAATGTGACATGGATACAATTGGTTTTTGTGTAGTTTTCCATAGAGCTGAGATCCTAGTATAGCATTTTGACAAAATTTGTCATTATTGCATCTGTGTGCATATATGGTAAAAATGTTTACCACTACTCTCTAAGAGTTCGTCAATAACGTCTCTAATAAGGTTACACTAACACCCAAATTAAAACGTTAAAAAGCGAATACCGTTAGAATTACTTTTTTTATACTAGTTTATTCCCCATGTAAATTACTATAAAACTTTTATTATTTAGTATTTTTTTGTGAAAATCATTACTAACACCAGTTACAGCTCCTTAATATAAAAACCTCACTTTCCAAAACACCATTATTTTCTCATAGCTACACGTAAGTATAACTTATTTTCTTAGGCTTAACCGATATAACAGCGACATTTCACATATATGAATTTATCAATTAAAACACTAAAAATAAATTTGCCCTTTCTAAAAACTTTCTTAACGGTAAATTTAATTTCAATGAAACAAAACTAACTTAGCCCATAAAGAACTTGGACGGGATTTTTTAATAGTAGGTAGAATGCATTAATAACAAGCATTTTCAACAATTAATATTGTTGAAATTGCAAAACGGTACTTAAAATGAATAATAAAATCTATATTCTTAATTATCGCAAATGGTTTTCGAAAAATATAAGTAATAATAAAAATACCTACAGAAAGATTTTTGAATATTTTTTTTTATAGATCTGAGATTTAAACATTACCTATACGAAAAAGGGGCTATTGCTTCATCTCTCTGGTAAAACCGTCATCAAAGACCGTTCTTTGCACTTCACTGACACTTAAATTCAGCCTATCTTCAATACGTACTCTTATTATAGCGTATGGGTGGCCCATCATTATGTATATACAAATGTAAAATCAAATTGTATGTAAAGAACCGGTACCTACCTATTAAAAACAAATTATAAATTCAATTCGAATTAGTAAAATAATAGACCTCTATATGTACAACCCATCTTCATTGTGTGATTATCTACATGTTTGTTCCTACGGCTGTTGAAATATCTCTATGGTTAATGAAGGATGTAAATGGTTTCCAAAAAAAATTTAATGTTGAGAAATAAAGTAATTTTCATTTTATTTAATTCTATTGTCATGTTAACTATAACATCCTAATAGAAACTAATAAATTTGAAACCGGTCTCATGATAAGTAATCTTAGCTAGTTAGTAGATATTGAGGGTACAATTCAGTGCTAGTCAGGGCATATGGTCCGTAGAGTAGTTGTTTGCCACGATATCATTCGTTAAATGTTATTTATTGGATCAACAATGGAAACATTGTTTAATGCCTGCATACCTACATTAGTCACATGTTTACAAATAATTATTCAATATGACTGAAATATTTGTATTTATATACAGGGTGTTCCAGGACTTGATACAAATAGTCGAGTACAAATATATGAGGTCAAAATAATATAAGTTCTTCATATACATTTTTTTCATACGGGCCTTCGTTAACAAGTTACTGTCCCTCAAAGGCGAATATTAAAAAGTTATTTTTATTTACAATCTCTAAACTGTTAACTTCAGCACGATGCAAATTTGGTGATCGATAACACATGCGTATAGCTTGATTTTGATGTTGTAAGTGAAACTTCATTATGCCCAGAACACCAGGAACGAACTATACCCAATGGTTAACAACCCAGAATTTTTGCATAAAAGACGATCGCAATTTTCCTGTATCAAAAATAATTTCCCTGAAGAATTAGTCAATGATAATATCCTCTTTATACATAACATAAGATAGAAAAACAAAACAAATTAAAGTTAAGTATTCAACTCCAAATATCGATGTGCATTCAGACGTTTCCCAAAAATATAGTATAGTATAGACCTATTAAAATATTACCCACTATGAGGAACGTCCATTAGATATCCGAAACGTTTGGTTTATGCACGATGGGGCTCCTCCCCATTTCAATATTGATGTACGAAATTATTTATCCATTTATTAAGTATGTGGAAGTGGAAGGTGCCCAAACTGAAAATGTATTTTGATAGATTTCTTTCTTTAAATAATTTTTTAACTTACTTTAACTTATTCTTGTTTTTTTTCTATTTTGTGTTGTGTTTGTCAAATTTTGTTAGTGAAAATTACATTCGCAGACTGTAAGATTTTCTAGATACTTACTTTAAAAATATGTACGGTTCTACACAGTAATTATATATATAAAAATAAAAACAAAAAATGGTGCGGTACCCCACTATTTTTGTGCACAGTCACATAAAATC